ACACATATCTTGTATTTTTGTTCGTTCAGTTTCTTTGGTAACTCAGACAGGGAGAAAAGTTATCAGGAACTGGTTAACATTTGGAGTGTCATCCAAAATGTTTGGCATGTCACCTTTGACATGTCGCTGAATAGGAGGTAGGAAAAAAATCAAGATAGCAACCACAACTATGCAATGCACATTAACAAGGCAATCCTGGCCTCCGTCTTCTTCTTTTTTTTAACCACCTCTTTGCATTCACTCCTGCAAATGTAGAAGTGGAAAGGGCTCTTGCAGTTTTACTAGTTGGCTAAAAAGTATTCCACATAATTTTAAAGGTACAAAAGCCCCACCATTGCTGTTTGTTTGTTTTTTATTCAGCCACATTCACATAAGAAGCAAATTGTTGAGACTTTGCATTCAAAGTGCTGGCTCAGTTGATACAAAGGTTTTACCCCCAAATGTAAAACAAAAACACCTATATTTGCACTGGTTCTTTGATGTCCATAGAGTGAGTAGCTTATCCAACTCAAGGACAAATATTTGCTCTCTAATGCCAGCGCAGAGAAAATTAAATACGCTGACGAAGGTATTTGTTTAATTAGACTTTCTCAAAGTTTCTGAGTCTGTTATTACTCTCCAGTAAACCAAACAAAAAACAGGGTCATGAGCAGGTTTTCTTCTTGAGGCAGGCAACAGCCAATGGAGGAAGGAAGCCTATCTCATGCTGGATTGAAGCCAAGATTATGTTAGCCCTGGCTGCTTCCTGGGTGAAAGTCCCTATTTTGGTGTTGTATCTGAGATAAATCAGTTATTTTGTTCTCTGATAAAAATCTTCCTCTCTTAGATCAGAAAGCATGTGAGGGGAAAGATCAGAGTTAAAACCATTTGGTTTTATCCCTTGAATGGAGCTTCTCTGATGTTTCCCAGACCTATTTTGAATGACTGAGCAAAGCTCTGAAATATCCCTGTAATAATTTCAGATGTTCAATATTTTTGAGCAAATGCAGCCTGCTTCCTCATCCTGCTCCATCCAGTGCAACAAACACCTGTTTATATGGATGTAAATAGCTACCGCAAGGAAGGACATTGGTTCTAGAAAGAAAGCCCACACAATTATGCCTGCGCCTTTCATTTTGGAAAAAAAGAAGGAACCTTTCCCACTTGGCTGGTGCTACATTGCAGCTGCTACTGATAAAAATTGTGTCCACTGCCCTCTAGCCTCTTCTGTGGCTTTAAGAAAAAAACTGTTAAGATTTTTTTTTAAGGTTTACAGTAGCTGTGGGAGGTCTTGCCCAGAACAGCTGGAGAAGGGAGCATTTATTTTCCCCTTCCTGTGATATATTCCACACCAAACTTCTCATCAAAAGCTGTTAATATATTATGGGCATAATAAAATACCTGCCTATATTAATTTTGTGTTGGCTTCTGCTTCTCAGCCCAACACAATTTTGGGAGGTCAAAAATCAGGAACACAACCTGAAGAAATAGGTTTAAACACATGTTCTCTGAAGACCATTGCTGAATCCTGTTACAGTTGCTTTATAGTAACAGCAGTAGCAAAATTCAAGCGTGAATTGTGATTTTCCCATATCATGTGAAGGTTGGCAATTGCAATTGAGTCCTGCAATTATTTTTTCCATGCCCTCCAGCTTAAAATGGTGACTGCATCTGTGAGGGAACAGAGTGGTTATGTTGGCTTTAAACAGGAGATTGTCTAGCTCCTCCTGAAGAAACCTTATCTGGATATTGGACAATTTTCCTCCAGTCTCCAACCTTTTTTTTCTAAGGAAGCTGTTTAGAAACTGCTTTATAGTTGCAGAAGACCCTGGAGGAAACGAATTATCTGAAATCTTTATCTGGATGGGGAAAAACAGGTGGCACGATTGTGAATTTTGACCTCTCCTCCACACACAAACACACAAATCTGGGGACTTTCCATGTTTAGTCCTGGATGGGAATTTACTTCATCAGATAGGATTGATGTGCACCTTAGGGGTCCTATTGGACTCATTGGTTCCTATTTGAAGAGTAGTTGGCAGCCTTGGCCAAGAGTGCCTTTTATTTATTTATCATATTTGAATGGCAGCCAATCATACATTAAAGTGACTATGGGTAGCCTTTGAACAAATTGTACAAATCCCTATTACTAACTCAGGAATCCCTTCATACTCGCTCATTTTCTTGCTTGAATTATCGCAATACACTCTACGAAGAACTGCTCTTGAAGACACCTAGAAGCTACAATTGATCAAGAATGCATTTGCCTGGGTGGTTATGGACACACCACCATAAACCCCTTACATAATGTAATCATACCAGAGAGGTGTTAAAGACAACAAAGGTCTTTCCAAAGCAATATTTTAATAAACAGTACGTGACATGAAGTCTTTTCATAATCTGATTTCTACATCAATCCTTTTTATACATTTTGTTTACATGTTCAGCACATTATTATTAATAAGTAGAGAGCCAAGATTCAGATGACCCTAGCCATTGAAAACCTGGTTTCCCTCAAATTCTTGGATAAGCCTCTCTTGAAATTGTTATAGACATATTTATATGATTGGCCTTGAATGGTTTACATTATGTTTTTTTATGTTTATTGTCCTCTTTGTTTTGTCTTTTAAATCCAAGGTCAGCTGCCCAAAGTCTCTATTTGTAACTTGGGCAGCCATGTAAATTAAACAAACAAAAACAAGCAAAGTAACAGACCATGCATTTTCATTTGTGGTCTATTATATTAGAGACATATATCACACAAAAGTCTTATATATATATAAGACTTTTCTTGCCTGTGTGTAAACTCCTGGGGGTTGGTCGTAAGAAATAGGAACAACAAGATGACCAACCTCCAGGAGTTTACACACAGGCAAGGAAAGCGGCGGGGCTGGCAAATAGAAGAACGGAGCTTGAAGCACGCACACAAGACAGCGCAGCAATACAGAGGCAAGCGAAGACAAATGAGGGGGTGGGGACAGACGACTGGGAGCAGATGAACAGCGGATCTCCAGGCACCTGCGCACACACACAAAGAAAACAACAGCAATTGGAGAGGGGAGGACAACTTTAGAAACGGCCCCTTTAAGAACTACACAGCCGACGCTAATGAGCAGACCAATGACCTGATCTAGGGTCAGAGCGCAGAGGCAGCCAGCCACATAAAAACGGACTCCCGGATCCAGCATTTTATACCCTGACGATGTCGATAGTGTGACCGACGAAAGCTTGGTTTTGTAGATTAAACATTCTTGTTTATTATTTCATCCTGGTGATCACCTTTATTTATTTCACATTATATGTATGTATGTATGTATGTATGTATGTATGTCATAATAAAGATGCTTCATAACATGAAACACCTCTGCTTCTTTCTAGCAAAGAGTATGAACTACAGCAAGTGGCACATTATTGCTTAATTTATTCTACTTGTCAAGGGAAAAGGAAGAGCATCAGCTTCCTATCTTATTCCTAGTCCCTCTGCAAGAACTACTGCATCTTTGAACAATGATCTAAATCCAAGTCTGCTATAGTAAAGGATGTCCGTTCAGGGATGCCTGCAGGACATGGTAAAAAAAAATTAAGATGGCAGCCATAAAACTCTGAATAAAACTCTGCACATGCATATAAAAACAGGAGAAGCTTCAATCACACTATCGTAGACACCATCTTGACTTTTTTTAAATCATACCTGTTGTGTCCCGACATTGCAAGGTTCCCGGGAATTGCAAAAACTGCCCGGGACCAGACTGAGTGGCGCCGACCGAGAGTGCATGCTCAAGGTGCAAAAAGTGCCATCTTGTCCGGGGAATTGGGATGTATAAAAGGAGGCCTGCGTGCCTTGCTCATTGTTGTTGGAGTTTGAAATAAGCACAATAAAGAGCTTACATGTGTATTCTTCATTCGCTATCACTCCCAGGACTTAACAATACCCTTTTAGCCATGAAATGACAAAAATTCATTTATTGTTATTGCTTATTTATTAAATTTGGCTGGAAGGGTATCCCAGTGGTTAAGATGCCAGGCTTGTTGGCTGGAAAGCCAGCAGCCCAGGTTTGAGACCCGACATCCAGGTGACGGGGGTGAGCTCCCGTCCTCACACCAGCTCCTGCCAACTTAGCCACTCAAAAGCATGCAAATACAAGTAGATAAATAAGTACCACTTTGGTGGGAAGGTAACTGCACTCCGTGATATTATACTGTCCACATGATTGCAGAAATGTCTTCGGACAGCACTGCTCAATGCCTTGAAACAGAGAAGAGCACCACCCTTTACTGTCGGCAACCACTAGCAGAGTAAAATCCACAGATATCCCTTACCTTTTTCTATTTATTAAATTTCTATGCCACCCTCCTCTGTCAAGTGACTCTAGATAGCTTTACAACATTAAAACATTAAATATTAAAATGAACCAAGATTAAATCAATGAAAAACCAAGGAACATGAAAAACATGTTCATGGAAACACATGAACGTGTTTTTGCTGAAACATGGAGCATCACACCTGAACTGAAAGCACCATCGAGTGCTCTGCTAGAAATGAATGTATGCCAGGCCATGTATTCAAGTCAATGGCGTTAAGCTGGCTTCAGTCCATGCATTCTGGAAGGATACTTGCAAAACAGGATGTGAAATGAAGCATTTATTAAAGAACCTAACTGAGATGACCTCCCTTTTGTCTTCATTCTGCCCTGTAATTTGGAGTGAAGGGAATCCCTCAGTAAAAGATGAAGGGGGTAAATGCAGAATTAAATAGTATATATTTATCAGTTCTAAAAGCAGCACCTGTTGTCTTCTTCCTATTACTAAAGGGTTTCTGAATAATCATATTAACTTTGTGGACAAGAGGGTTAGAACTACTGTACCTTTGAATAATGTTCTAAATTCAAACTTGGCACATTAAAATATGTCACTTCATGGATGTCTACAGGTTGTGGTAAAAAAAAAATCAAGACTGTAGCTGCAACCTGGGTGTATTTTATTGCACAATTTTAAAATATATGTTAATGATTTATCTACAGGTCATGCCAACTGATATTACACCAGATGGAGTATGCAATTGGCCAACTTTCTGATCACAGAGTGTATCTACCACATATTTTAATAGTTTCAGGAAGAAATGTTAGCAGCTGCCACATCACCTTTCACTGTGCAAAAATAATGCCTGAGCAAAAATAACGCTCAGTGTTACAACTCCATTGGAAAAAAAGGACTTACAACTCACAACTTGCCCTTAACAATTGTTGCAGCATCTCCACGGTCACGTGATCCAAATTCAGGCATTTCAAAACTGGTATGTATTTTACAAAGGCTTCAGCTTTCCAGAATCATTTGATTGCTGTTTGCAACCTTCCCAGCTGGATTCTCACAAGGCAAATCAATGGGGGAAAGTCAAATTCACTTCACAACTATATAATTCACTTACCTGCAGGGATTCACTTAACCATGGCCAAAAAGAGATCATAAAATTGGATGTGACTCACTTAACTACTGTCTTGTTTAGCAATGGAAATTCTGGCCTCATTACAGTGGTAAGTCAAGGACTACCTGTAGGGCAGTTGAAAATTATTGCAAATAATGCAGACTATTTTGTGGCATTGCTTATCTCTATGGCATTGTGAAACAGGTTATATATTATGCTAATCCATGTATTTATAAATGAGAGATTATGGCTTTATTCTGTTGATTCAGTAAACCATTAAGCAATGGCTCAGCTAGGGTTACCTGATCCAGACTACAACAATCCATATGGTGCCAGTTGTTTAACCATGGTTAGTAGAAGTAGTGTATACCTTTTTTTAATGAAAATTATCAGCACTTTTGATCAGTGACGTCATCAAAGTAAACAAGCCCACGTGCTGATTACGTCAACAGGGCACAGCCCTAAAAGGAAGTGACGTGCTCAGCCCCCACCCTCCGGATGTGACGTTTTGGCCTAATCCCATCAAGATTGGCAGTCAATCTGGGTACATGATTAGGTTAACCCTAGACTAATTCTATGGACATTCAAAACCAAAAAGAGCTAAGTAAAGTGAATAATTAGCAGAGGCCTGTGTTTTTGGGGAACAAGCCCTACTTTGGGGAGCTGTTAACCCTAGACTATTTCTATGGACATTCAAAACCCAAAAGAGCTAAGTGAATAATTAGCAGAGGCCAGTGTTTTTGGGAAACAAGCCCTACTTTGGGGAGCTGTGAAATAAAAAATAAAAAAGGCTTTTTATTTCTAATCATTCTAGCCTAACGATGCTTTTAATTTTTGTGGAGTTTTAAAAATCAGTGCCTCAAAAGCTGGGGAAAAAGAAGCCCCTGAAAGGCAGCCAGAGCCTGCATTTAACCCCTTTTTTCTAAAAGATATTTTTTTCTAAAAGGTATTTATGTCTAGGTGGTTTTAAAAGCATTTCCTCGAATGCAGGGGGAAAAACAAACAAACACAGCCCCTTTTAAAACCCACAGCTGGTTTTTACCTTTGTAAAAAATCTAAACACACATATTTTGCCATTTGTACCCTGAATAAAATTTATTCTGCCCGCCTTCCCACTATAGCAAAAGACAAGGAATATTAACAGGAATTAAAATGCTCACAAGAGGCAAGCAGCCAACCAGGCTCACAAGAGGCAAGCAGCAAGCAGCCATGCCTGTCTGTCTGCTAGTAAAAAAAAAGAAGGGGTAGGCCTTGTTTGGGATGTGCCCGGGCATGTCATGCTCCCCGTGATCTGGGCATGCGCTATGCTCAAGGGCGTGTCATTGCAAGGGGCAGGGGAGTTTGCTCCCCCTGATCTGGGCATGCGCAATGCTCAAGGGCGTGTCATTGCAAGGGGCAGGGGAGTTTGTGCGGGCAGGGACATGCCCGGGCATGTCATGCTCCCCGTGATCCGGGCATGCGCAATGCTCAAGGGCGTGTCATTGCAAGGGGCAGGGGAGTTTGTGTGGGCAGGCCTGAACAGCTAGCGATTTAACCCCCAGCAGTCTTTTGAAGATGGCAGCCTCTGATTCCAAAGGTGTTTTTACACCAACAGCAAAAGATAGCTTCGGACACTCTGATACAAGGCCCCAGCCAACAGAATGCAACAAAATCTGTTGCAGGGGTTATGATAAAGAAAATTTTTTATTCAGACCTGTGTTACATGGCTGTAGCATGGTGTGTTGTAACTTTAACGATGAGATGCAGAGTACTTACCGGACAGCCTGTGAAATGGTGAATGATACTACATTATCTCCCAGCAATGGTAAGTAAATATGTTTTTATTTATGATAATGTAAATGATGCTGGAGCGGATACACTGCTAACAGAATGTGCTTTATATTTTGCAGACTCTGAATTAGTAATACCTAGACAGCAAACACTTCAAGACACCCCGCTTTTAGATTCCTGTGATAATCGCCGTGGTCAGAAAGCTTCTGCAGATTTTTCTGATCTAGACTGTAACAGGGATTATGAGTTATCCCAGAAACCACACTATCTACCTTGTGAGTTAAAGAGCTGCAATTTGTGTAAAGACTGGTTTGCTTGTGACTACGGACGTGATTTATGGGGCACAGGCGGGCCAGAGTATTATAAAATAGCGTGTTATAGGCCTTTATCTTCTGATTCTGATAGTGGTGATGAGGGATATTTTTCTGATGGCGGTGCTGTGCGCCCTCTGAATTCTGTATAACCAATAAAAGACTGCGTTAATGTCAACACTTGAACATTTGTCAGTGGTCTTTCAGTATAACGATGCATGAAAAGCTTTTAAGTCGTATTTATTATACTCCGGGGTGTGTAGGGAGTTATGGAGGTGTGAATGCCCTTTTTCAGGAAGCTAGAAAACATGATAAAAACCTGACCATGAAGCAAGTCAAGACGTGGCTGTCAGGGGAAGACGCTTATACGCTTCATAAGCCTGCAAGAATTAATTTTCCTAGAAATAAAACAGTAGTGTCTGGCTTAGATCATCAATGGCAGGCTGACCTCATAGATGTCTCCAAATTTTCTAAAGAGAATCATGGAAAAAAGTACATCTTAGCAGTTATCGATGTGTTATCTAAATATGCCTGGGCCTCCCCTTTATCTGATAAAACAGGGAGGGAAGTTACATCCGCTTTCCAGAATATCTTTCAAACAGGACGTGCACCCCGAAAATTACAGACAGATGCAGGTAATATTCTTCAGTGAATATTCCACTGAAGAAACTTTTAGCACGTTACGGCATTCATCATTTTGTCACTCATAGCGAAACTAAAGCAGCCGTTATAGAGAGGTTTAATAGAACCCTAAAAAACAAACTCTGGAGATATTTCACAGCTAGAAATACCCACCGGTATGTGGACATTTTAGCAGATACTATTCAGGGGTACAATAGCTCTTACCATCGTAGCATCGGTACTGCTCCTAGCACCGTAAATTTGTCTAACGAAAGGGGTGTGTGGATGAGGCTTTATGGGGCAACTTTAAAAAGAAAAAGAAAGGAAAAATGTCTTAAGATGGGGGATCATGTCAGGGTATCCAGACTGAAGGGTAAGTTTGAAAAGGGCTATCAGCAAACCTATACGGATGAGATATTCATCGTCAAAGAACTGCAGACAAGGGGGGAAAGAGCGGTGTATAGATTAAATGATTATACTGGTGACCCTGTAAAGGGGGCTTTTTACTTTGAGGAGCTCCAAAAGGTTCCTGCTGACCAACAGCGCATATACAGAATAGAGAAAATTATCCAAAAAAGAGGGCAGGGGAGACACAGAGAATTTCTAGTCAAATGGACTGGATGGCCAGAGAAGTTCAACAGTTGGGTTAAGGAGACTGAAGTACAACATCTTTGATATGGCAGAGTTTTACATCACCCTTCCCAGCAATGCGTCAGCAGCAATTTTCCCCCAAAACAGAAATTCTAATTTCACTATACAATTAGCAAGATCATTGGATCTTCCAGGGTCATGGGAAGTAGGGCTAGCAGAGATACAGTATCCGCATAGTTGGCACACATTAACTTCTCCTGGATATTTTGAAATTGCTAATGAGAGAAAGAGATGGCATTTTTCTTTGAGAAGCGGATACTATACTAGCATCCGACAACTGTTAGAAAATATGAACAAGCTTATATCAAGTGCCAAGGACGGCCCTAAGACAACCCTACAGTATGATGCAGTGGGTCGAAAAATTAACCTTAAAGGTGATGAACCGCATACCATTCTAGTTAGCGGAGAACTTGGACATCTGTTAAGTACGTTCCCTGGATTCAACACCTTATATGTTTACACAGACATTGTAGAGCTCCAGATAGTGGGTGACTACTATGTGCCATTACTGCGCTGTGTGCCTGTGCAAGGGCAAGACAACGATTTCATCACAATAACCTATGACCGTCCACATTATGTACCGGTCAGCAAACATCACATCGATACCGTTACTATAGAAATCAAAACCGACCAGGACAAAAACGTGCGTTTTTATAACGGGAAGGTGATTGTCAAGCTTCATTTTAGGCCTCGGAAAAGTGAAGGATGGTTGTAATCAAGGAGCACGGAAACCCTCAAGACTATGTGGCTTACTACAGGGCACAAGCCGGTGGAGGCCTTCCAGGCTTCCGAGGAGCCCCCATTATGTACGGGACAGGGTTAGGGGGTCTGTTCCGTGGGCTTTTTCGAAAAGCAATGCCTTTTTTGAGGCGTGGATTAGAAATCATTAAGCCGCATGTGAAATCTGCTGCCAAAAACATTGTCAGAGATGTTGCGGGGAATCTTGTATCCCAAGTTGTTGATAGGGGGCAGGCTGGATCAGGGTTGTTCATAGCCAGGAAGAATTATGCATCGGGCCCGCCTATTCCGCTTAAAAAGAAAAGACTTGTGAAAAAGGCCCGTCATACCAAGAGGAGACGTGCGCAGAAGAGGAAGCTCTGTGACAAGGAAGACATATTCTAATACAATATGTCATTTATTCATTCTGCTTCAGAGGAATGTGTTAAATCAGAACTGGATCTTTTTCAACTGGCGCCTACACAGACCAGTATTGAAAACAGTACCTATGTCGAGATCCCTCCTTTATCAGCGCTAACACCCAACGCACCCCTGGAATTTTTTATCACGGGGCATGGTGAGCATTACACGGATTTAAACAACACTCTGCTGTATGTGAGTTGCAAGATTGTAAAGGCGGATGGGACGGATATTGATGATGGGGCAAGGGTGGGCCTGACCAACTACCCTATAGCATCACTATTTAACCAGCTGGATGTTACTTTGGGAGATCGGCTCATTACACAGAGCCATCATTGCTATTCTTATCGGGCCATGATTGAACTGATTCTGAACTTTGGTAGTGATGCACTGGGTTCCCAATTTACAGCTGAGGGTTTTTACAAAGATGACTCAGAACTCATGGAGAGTACTCTACTGACAGCTGCTGGGAACTCCGGTTTCAAAGCGAGAGCAAGACACACGGCCGGTAGTCGTAAATGGGATTTGCTAGGACCACTGCATAGCGATCTGTTTTTTCAAGATAGACTGCTGATTAATGGCGTTGATGTGAAAGTCAAACTCACAAGAAGCAGAAATGAATTTTGTGTGATGAAGGATGGCAATGAGAATTATAAAGTGCAACTCCTGGCAGCTTCTCTCTTTGTAAAACGTGTAAAAATAGCCCCGGGAGTGCGCCTTGGCCATGCAGAAGCTTTGCTCACCTCCAATGCCAAATACCCCATTGATCGAGTGGGGATGAAGGTTTACAGCATTCCTGCAGGGAGCCTTGTGTGTAATCAGGAAAATCTATTTCTGGGGCAGCTACCTAAACAATTAGTTATTGGGTTTGTGGACAATGCATCTTTTAGTGGGGATTATGAAAGAAACCCATTCAATTTTCAACACTGCAATGTCAATTTTTGCGCCCTGTATTGTGATGGCGAGCAGATCCCCGCAAAGCCTCTTCAGCCTGATTATGAACACGGTCTTTTTGTGAGAGAGTACATGCAGATGGTGCAAGCCACAGGCAAAGGCATGAAAGACAGGCCACTGATAATCAGCCGGGAAGAGTTTAACCGAGGGTATACCTTGTATTGTTTTGACTTGAGTCCTGATCAGGGATGCTCTGAGCACTATTCTTTGATCAAGAATGGTAACCTCAGAGCCGAAATTAGATTTGCACAACCCCTCCCCAACACCGTCAACATGATTCTCTATGCAATTTTTGAAAACCTTATTGAAATAAGTCACACAAGGAATGTGCTTTTTGATTATATGTGAGTATGGACACACTGCAGCTCCTCCAATTGTTCTCTGGAAATACTGCCTTTCTAGGGGTCTACCCTTGTGATCTGCTACCCCAGAGACATATCTCCAAAAGACCTTTTGGATTAATTGTAAATACTCACCCTCACACTCTGCCTGGTGAACACTGGCTGGCCCTCTACTTCCCATCTCCTGGATATGGTGAATTTTTTGATTCTTATGGAAGACCGCCGGATAGCCCTGACTTTCCTGGCTCTATAGTGATGTTTCTAGAGCAGCAAGCTGAGAAATACACATTTCACCAACGTCAACTGCAACACCCCAGCGCTGTGACCTGCGGGCAACACTGTGCGTTTTTTCTACTGAACCGGACTAAAGGAGTGGACTATGAAAATATTTTAAAGATGTACTCCAATGCAGATATTAAAAATGATCAAATGGTAAAGCTGTTTGTAAAAACTATAAAGGTGGGGAGGGGGCTTGGAACCTGTAACCGTCACCAATGCATGCAGACTTGCATGCCTTATTGTAAAATAAAGAAAAAGACTTAAACGTTTTTACTTGTTTCACTGTGTTTTTATTCATTTTACAAATTGAGCCAGTCACCAAACTTGAACCTACTTCTAGGATTTAATGTCCAAGGGCTAGAGGGGGTACCGGTAATCAGAGGCTTCTGAGTTTCAAAAGGGGGTGTCATAACAGAGACGGGGTTAGTAGCAGCTTCATCCTTAACAACCAGAGAATCTTTCAACTTTTCTATTTGCTCTTTAACAGTTGTAGACCCCAACACAGAGGTTGGAACATTCACCTCAGCCATAGCATTCATAAAGTCATCCCAGCCTTTAGGTTTCCGCTTCTCAGTAGGAGCTCGGTGTTGTGAGGCTCCTTTTACCAAGTCTAAAATATTAGTACCAGGAATAGGGACCCCTTTGTATAAAAAGGTACCACGATCATCCCAGGTTGAGACGTCCTGATGCTGCTTCATTTTGTTCAGTAAAAGTTCTGCATTTTTCCTGTAACGGGTGCTCACACCCCTTAGGATCTCATCCATCGCTGTGTCCTGCGGAGATGGCTGTGGCGACTGTTCTGGTAAAGTTGGAAGTGGTCGAGGCTCTTCCGGTGGATAAATGAGATTCAGTCTGTCCTTTTCAGATTCATTTTGCCTGGTCAGT